CTGACTTATGCTAGTAATCCTGAGACCAAGTGGTACAGATTACAGTAACTGCCATCACTGGGAAAGAGAAAGTAGAGTAACATGTGAAGAGGGTTTCACAAATGGGAAGCACATGTTGACCTTTTTGGCTCTCATTTCTTAGTTGTTTTGCCACAGTTGGGTTTTTAGTTAATTATAGGCTGAACCAATGCGTAGATTTTATAGTTGTTCAGGTAAATGATAAAAATCTGGCACTGAAAATGAGAGTCATTTTAGAGGCAGAATCAAGTGGAAATGGTTATGGAAGGCAAATGAATCAAAGATTCTTGAACTCAGATTATCTGAATAGTTATAAGAGGTACTGTGTATAGGTGCCTAACATGTATGGAGAACTGTGCTACACACTACATAAATACAGTGTCTCATTCAGTCCTTAGAATAATCTCTGAGGTATTATTACCCTTGTTTTATGACTAATGTTACTGAAGGTCAGAGAGCTAGTTGGTGAGGAGCCAAGTTTTGAACTCACATCTGTCCTACTCCAGTGTTGGAACCATTATGCTGTCTCAAACCTGGGCTGCTGAAAGGTAGATAGTTTCCTGAAAAGGAAGGTCAATTTTAAGTCAAGAGGAAATACTTTGGAAAAGTAAAGATTTGGCTTCAGGCAGGTTACTGTGAGGTGCTGATGGAATATCTATGGGGTACTCATCACATGCATACAGATGATATGAACTCTTTCTATAAATATGGATGTAAAAATACACATGGAGTGTGGATCTTGTGGGAAACAGCACCTGTCAGTTTAAAAGCACTATAGTTAGAAGTTTTTCATAATTTTGCTGGCCAAACAAAACATATCTTTGGGCAGGATCTGATAGGAAGTTTGCAAACTCAGCCTAGAGCTCGCAAGAGTGGGAATATGGTGGTGAAAAGACAACTGGCCTGGGAGTACCTAGTATGAGTCCAGAGGCTTTCACTTGCAATGGGATCTTGAGTCTCAGTTTCCTCATCTATAAAATGAGAGGTTTAGACTAGATGATTTCTGATGTTGGTTGTTTTTAAATAGTCCTTAAAACCATTTATAAAATAAATTAATATGCGAATTTTAACACCTTTCTGTTAAAGACTACCAAATGTATCACGTGTATTATCTCTTCCCAGTAGACTAAGCTAAAATACAGAGAGATTTAGTAAGTTCCTAAGGGTCCTAGGCTAACCAGAGGGCTACAGATACAGTGCACATCTCACCTTTAGGGCTGTGTTTTGTGGTTCACTGGAAAGCCAGTTAGCAAAAACAATAATCAGCTGTAAATTGGTAAAACAATTAGAGCTTAGTCAATGAAAAATTAATCAACTGAAGAGTTCTTATTGTGTGCTAATTTGAATTATTAATCAAGGAGGGGAAATTATTTTATTAACCACTACTTATCAGCTGGTGGCCTGTCTGCAGTCTCCCAGTTTGTATATTTTGTGCTTGTGTATTTCTTTAAAGATTTCTCCAATGCTCAAGTGAGACCCAGAGCCTCTCAGATGCATCCTCTTCTCAAAGGCGCTCTACCCGATCTCTGCAAGTAGGGGCCAAGTTCCCCAGGCTGCAGGGGGCTCCAGCCACACAGATGCCCAAGCTTGGGCGAGGCATCTCAGAAGGAGGTGATGTTCTCTTTTTTGATGAGTCACCTCCACCAAGACCAAAACTGAATGCTTTAGCAGAAGCCAAAAAGGTAACCGGTATCTGTTTTCTTCAACATTTGAATTTGCATTCTGTCAGACCTACATAGAGTTTCAAACTTCATCTACATATAACCAGGAAAGACAGACATCTAATAGCTATTTATTGATCATGATAATTTGAGTCCAAGGAATTTTAAGTAATGGTGTCAACAAAATGCCATTAATTTAATCCAACCCTGTTCCTTATGAGGTTAAAGGACATAAACTAGAAGGAAGAAAAATGCTTGGAATTGTTGAGACAGGACTGTAAAATAATGGTTTAAAAAACCTTTCTTTAAAAGAAATTTTGCACAGAAGCCCAGTGTGCAGACAGATAAAAGCAATGGAGCTCTGACTGAAGTGGATGTTGAGAGTGCTGAGAACCCCACCTGCTCAGCACACTCCCACCTCCCTACTTCCTGGGTCACCCTGAGCTCCTGACCTGACCCTTTCTTGCTTTGTTTTGGTTAGCACTATAATCAACCGAAGGCAAAGGCTAGCTACAAGCCAAGCTGCTCCTACAGTAATATTGATACCAACTGCACGTTTATTAACGAGGAACCCATGATCTATGCAGGCATGCTATTTACTGTATACAGGTACATGCTTTGCATGCATGCTCATTTCATCCACACAGGCTCAACCTTAAAAGACAGGTAAATGCTATCTCCATTTTATAAATGTAGAAACTGAGGCTGAAAAATTAAATAATTTGCCCAAGGTTACAAACTACCAAGTGGCAGAGCTAGAATTCTATCCTAATTCTGTCTGATTCTAAAACAGACTTCCAAAATTTTATGTGGTTCCTTTCTGTGTCTTGAAGACTATGGTCTTGCTGGTATTTAACTATTGATATTTAAGCTGAAACTTTATTAACTTACAGACCTGTCTCCCGTGCTTTTAAATTTTAGTGATTATGTTAATAATGCTAACTGAAGATGTATTTTGTTAATTTATATTTGAACACAGCCAGAATTCCCTGGCTGGTAACTGGAAGGGGTACAGGACTACAGATACCTATCTCATCTCTTAGTTTCCACCCTCCCTCCCCACCCTGTCTTCTTTTTCTAGTTAGCTGCTATAACCAAAATAAGGGCAAAAGGCCAGATTCTTACAAAAACAGACCCAAACAGCATTAAAAAGAAGCAGAAGGATGCCGAGGATTTCCTGGAAGTGAAGGAACGTGTAGAAAAGAACAACGCATATTCTCCTGGAGGTACTGCAGATTTCAAAGTTAGCAATGGGAGAAGCTGTTTATATAGATGTTCTAAACCATAACCACTGTCCCTGATATGAAAAGTCATTAGTTTACATCAGTTTACCTCTACATGGACCTAAATAGAACTTAATTCAACTAGCACTGATTGTTTTTATAATCATGTTGAATTGAAATGAAATTATGCACAAATTGAAAACTGGAGAAAAAGATGACTCATTGGATCTTTGTAATATATGTTAGTATAAAGATTTACTTTGAAAAAAGTAGAATTCCTTTGTTTTAAATTGCCCTATTTCTACTTTTTAAACTCTAAAGTTGGCAGTGTTATTTTAATATCAGTTTGTAAGAAAGATTTTTGCTGATGGTTGTTACCATAATTAGTTCTTGTTTAAAGGTAAAAAGGAGGTTCTAATCCAGTGGTCAAAATACCACCTCTCGTATCCTAGACTTCCCTTCTCATCCCTCTTCCTAGAGCATCCCTCTGCTGGTACCTACTGGGGTAAATTAAGTTTGCAGGGCCTGGAGGCAGATGGAAAGAATGGAGGGAATCTGAGTCCATGAGGCACAGTGGCTTCCTGAAATTCCTTTGTAACAGCTACTGTTTTTGTTTTCTGCTCTAGCTGAGGATGACTTGGAGCCTGCCAAGAAGAAAAGGAGAGAACAACTTGCGTACCTGGAATCTGAAGAATTTCAGAAGATTCTAAAAGCAAAATCGAAGCACACAGGGATCCTAAAAGAGGTAGGAGCCCAAAAGGTCAGACATTAGATAGAGATGACCTTCAGACTCAGGCCCTTTGTCAAGGAATAAGCATCTGTTTCTCTTACCCCAACCAAGACGTGGCTGTATCAGTTTGTTTGAGTTGGCTCTGAAGAAGGAATGTTTCTAATAGATTTTAGTTTTGCCTTTGCCCTTGCACTGAAGAGCATCATTTAGACTTCAGCATTATAAAAATGTTTACATGCCACTATTGCCAGCAAAGTTATGTTTAAATGGTTCACCACTATCTACTATTTTCTGCCTTGGAATATGGGAAGAGATTTTCCATTCATATATTTTTATATTGGCATTTTGTATACTCCAAATCAGTTATGAACCCTATCATTTCCAATGCCCCCTTTTAATAATAAATATTTTCAATTGCTCTGTTATACTGAAATAAAATTCATGGATAATATAAATTAACTAGTCATTTCAAAAATACCAGTATGGTATTGTAGCTATAATATAAAGAAGAAAATAAAATATATTAAAAATATGTAATATATTATGTAAGTACATGAGCACTACTACACATGAAATGTAGTTAGGCTTGGATTTGTAAGTGAGACAGGCAGGAGTGAAGATTCATGTGGTTCTCAGTAACTTAACATGGCTCTGTTTCTTTGACAATGTGACTTTTTTTTGAATGGCAAATAATCCTGGGGAACTTTTACCACCAAAGTACAGCTGTCCCTCCATATACACAGGAGTTGCCTAGTTGTGCTCTTGGAATATTCAACGTATATTATTAAAACCATGCACAAATATTATAGGGTTGTATATAAAGCAGCTAGGATCAAGGGTTACAGCTGAGTTTTTCATCCACACAGATGCCCTATAAAACTTTCAGAAGAACCCTTTGATGTGTGGTGAGGACCACTCTGTGCATTGTCGGAAGGGTTAGTAGCCCTTGTCCCTGCCAAACAGTAGCAATCCTTGGGAATAACAAAGTGTCCCACAAGTTTTTTAAATGTCCCGTTGGTGGGCACCAGAGGCCTCAGGGCCTTGTGCCTTGGTAGCTGCACTAACCCAAGAACTGTAACCACATTCTGCCCTAAAGGCCCCTCTGTCCTCTCACCTAACCATCAGGGACTGCTCCTGCCAAATGCTTGGTTAGGAGAATAGTATTGATGGATTGGGCTGTCCTCACTGGGGAGATACGAATACCTTCTGTAGCTTGAGTCTGTGTTGGAACAGCAGGAATAATTTCCTACTGGTACACACTTGACATGATGACCTGTTAATAATGTTAGCATTTCAAGTTTGTATTTCTTTCATGTTTTAAAAATTACCAAAAGCTTTTGTACATTTTTCATGATGACCTGTTAATAATGTTAGCATTTCAAGTTTGTATTTCTTTCATGTTTTAAAAATTACCAAAAGCTTTTGTACATTTTTTTTGTTTGTTTTTTTTGCATATTGGAACTCGAGTCTTCTTATGATCAACTTCTGGTTTGCAATTCATTCATCTGTTACCCAGTTTCCTCATAACAGTAGCTTGTCTCTTCAGTTCTGTTTGACTGTTACTGAATTGCTGCTGATATATTGCATTTGGTATAAGGTCTCCTTTGCCTTGTGATTCCAGGCTGAGGCTGAGCTGCAGGGACACTATTTTGAGCCACTGGTAGAAAAAGAACAAATGGAAGAAAAGATGAGAAACATCCGAGAAGTGAAATGTCGAGTTGTGACGTGCAAGACCGTGAGTGTGGGAGATGATTCTGACCATGGGCTCTGTGTTGTTCTCTTGTGACTCAGCAGGTCATAGAGAACCTGTGGGCTGCGGACCCATGTCTTGTGAGTGGAGTCCTGCGTGAGTTATTTAATTAGGCTGGAACCAAACTCGATGATAGCCAAGGACCTGGCCTCTGAGCTCTGGTGGCAGAGCACTTGTAGTGAGTCTCCCCTTATTTCATCACTGCTCATTTTGCAGATGAGCCTCTAGTGGCTCTTCCCTGTTGCCCATTGGACCCAAGTTATCCTCACCTCTCTTTCTCAAGTTCCTAGCACACCCTCAGTTCATGGTTCACAGTCCTGAGACCTTGGTTGAATGACTTGATTTAGCATCACATGTTATTACCAATAACTATTGTCCCTTTTTACTCAGGGCTTAACCTACTAAACTGAATCTCAAGGCACAGTGTGAATTGTATTACTGTCTATGTTTGTAGAATTTTTACCCTAAGTTTGTTAAAAAATAGTAAGTCCCCTTTTCCTCAACATTAGTGAAAAATGACTAAAAAAAAATTGCTAAACACTGTTCCTTCCATTACTGCTCATTTTATACCTACGTGGCCAATAAGCCTTGTGAACACATGTAAGAGGGGGAAGGCATAGCTTACCAGTACAATTTTCTCTTCTTCATGCCTTTGAAAACCTGAGATTCTTGTGTACATTTAGCAGGTGGCCCTGTATCAGCTGCCATCAAAAGGTAAGTCTTCTTTGAGAAAGTTCAGAACTTGGACAATAAGTAAAGGTCTTACCTCAGAAAACAGGTTTTATTCTGACAGTGATAAACCTGGACAGTTAGCTGGTGTGTGTTTCCTGTTGCTGCTCCTAACGAATGACCGCCAGTTTGACACCTCAAAATAGCACAGGTTTATTATCCTGCAGTTCTGTAGGTCAGAAGTCTTAATTAGAACTTGGACAATAAGTAAAGGTCTTACCTCAGAAAACAGGTTTTATTCTGACAGTGATAAACCTGGACAGTTAGCTGGTGTGTGTTTCCTGTTGCTGCTCCTAACGAATGACCGCCAGTTTGACACCTCAAAATAGCACAGGTTTATTATCCTGCAGTTCTGTAGGTCAGAAGTCTTAATGTGCGTCTCACGGGGCCAAAGCCCAGGGGTGGCAGAGCTGCATTCCTTTCTGGAGGCTCTAAGGGAGAATCCGTTCCCTCACCTTTCCACCTTCTAGATCCCACCTGTATCCCTTGGCCTACGGCCCCTTCCTCCTCCAGAGCCAGTGATGGCAGGTGCGTCCCCCTGTCACATCCTCCACCTCCTTCCCTTGTCCCACTCCCACTTTAAAGGACCCTTGCAATTCCACTGGGTGCACCCAGATAATCTAGGATCATCTCCCAATCTTAAAATCAACTAATTAGCAACGTACTCCCCTTTTTTCATGTAACATAGCATACAGGTTCCAGGGAAGAGGGCATGTTCACCTTGGGGGGTTATTCTACCTACTATAGCTGGGACACCACTCTGCTCTACTTTTTAGGTTGCTAAAATCAAAAGTTACTTAAATGGATTCAGTGTAATTATCAGAAATTACATTGTACTCTCCTGGCATCTGTTTCAACCTTCACCCACCATGTCTTTTGTTCTTTTTTTCAATGCATCATATGATTCCATTTATATAAAGTACAAAAATAGGCAAATCTACTCTCTGCTATCAGAAAGCAGGATAATGATTACCTTTGCGTGAGGGTAAGGAGATGTGACTGGAAGGGGACATTAGGAGGGCTTTGGAAGTACTGGGAAAGTTCTGTTTCTTAAAGTGGACACTGCTTACCATTTCTATCACTCTTCAGTTTTTTGAGGATCAAAATTAAACATGGATTACTTAATATCTCTGTCTTGGTTTTGTTGCTTGTGGAATAGTAGTAATAAGCTTATATAATTTCCTGAAGCCTTGTAAGAGAAAATGAGGAGCTGCAGATCAGCCTTCCTTAGTAGGCCCCATGCCTCCATGTCCTAGTGACATAACTAAGCGACTGCTGTGAATTCAGGACAACCTGCCAAAGCTATTGAGAGGTTTCCAGTACTTTTATTCTGCCCTTACGATTGTCTTGATATCACAATGTTATTGTGTAGGTCATGCCTGACCAGAAATTGTGGCAAATGTGAGAAAAAATGGTATCAGTGTGAGGAACCCAAGAAATCCCCCAGGTTCCTGCAGCTGGAAGACAAGGTGGTCATTCCACCAGCAGCTGTCTGAGGGGTGACGGGAGAACTGAAGTTCTCCTGGAGCAGTTAGCCTCGTGGCAGCTGCCCAATTTTTCCTCCAAAGCTCTTGACCAGATGTGTGCCCTTCTGGTTTTCTGCAGTGCGCCTACACCCACTTCAAGCCTTTGGACACCTGTGTTGGCGAGCAGCACAACTACCACTGGCACGACGGTATAAAGAGGTTTTTCAAGTGTCCCTGTGGAAACAGAAGCATCTCCCTTGACAGGCTCCCCAGAAAGCACTGCAGGTATGAGAATTGCCTGGAGTTCTTTGTCCCAAGGCGTCTTAAACCCATTTTCTAGCTTTGTGTGCTCTTGTGCCGTTGGAACACAGGGCAATCCCTTATGAGAGCTGCACCTTCTTAACGCTCCTGGCTGTCCGCACGCTCCTGGAGGGAAGGGGCCTGTCCTCATCACTGCTTGTCCCCAGTGCTTACTATGGCGCCCAGCCCATCGTGGGACCTCAAAAATGTTTTGAATAAATACATGGCATGAGGATAGGGTGGGTTGGGGAATGTATGTGTATTGTCTTTTTTCGTGTTTATTTGCAGCTGTTCCTTCTGTATTTAAATCCTAGTCCCCCGTAGTTTTAATCACTGTACATACAGTGTGGTACATTACTACTGGTCCATCCAGTGCCCTCCTCATCTTATGTCTGTGTTCCTTTATCCCTGTCTTTACTCCCTTCCCATTCCTTAACCCCAGAATAATAGAACACCTTCTTACCTCAATGCAAAAAGACCTCCAAAACACACATTAAACCTGCCAAATTGATGATAAAGAATTTTAAGGGCAGCCAGGGAAAAACTCACAAATAAAAGAGCAAGCTGCCTTCTCAGCCTCCGGGTGGTGCTGTTTGCTTTCTCTGAACTTTCTCTTGTTCTTGATCTAGGGTAAAAGTGAGCAAACGTTTCCTGTAAAAAGCCAATTAGTAAATATATTAGGTTTCTCAAACCAGATTGTCTGTTTCACAACTACTTAGCTTTGCTGTTTGTAGCTTGAAAGCAGCGATAGATAATAAACAAACGGGCATGACTGTACTCAAATAAAACTTCATTGATAAAAACAGTGGCAGGCTGGATTTGGCCCATGGGTTATAATTTGCCAACATCTGACTAGAGCAGCGATTTTTTTTTCATGATATTGTCATTGATCTTCTAATAGGCTACAAAAGTTCTTTCAATAGATATTGAAATAGTCAGGCATGCTGACTCAGGGCAGGAGGAGAGTCCAAGCCAGATGAGGAAGGATGAGGCAGGTAAGGCAGTACCTGTGTTCCAGACCCTCTCAAACCCAAGGTTTCTGAAAGACTTACTTCCATGACTTTATTGTATTTCTTTTCTGCTTCTCTCTTCCCCACAGTAAACTTTGTAGAAAATAAGCTTCCCACATAGTGGCCACATCTCTTCTCAGGGTTGGACTTACCTACCCTGTTAAAAAATGAGAACAAGAATGCCTAGGCTTTTTGGATAGCAAGAGGGTAAACATCTTTGGGTTATGAAAGAGGGGGAAGGATTGTCCAGACCAGAAGGAAGATTATTTCTTTCTTATCACCACCTTTTAGTTCCAGAAAAGGAGAAAGACTACACAGCATCAGAAGGCTGGCTTCCTAATCTGAGTGACCATCAGTAGAAACCAAGCTCATGTTCATCACCTACAGTGTGCACAGCCCTGTTGTACTTTCATTTAATATCCCATGTCTGAAGTATCTAGCTTATTACAGATCATTTCTCAAATTATTGGAACATGTATTTTCAGTAGCTTAGCTCATAGCTTGTAATGTGAGTTGTTGCCTTGATCAGCTTCTGCTTGAATGGAAGATATTTTCCCCAGATATGGTGAGCACTGCTGTCTTCATGTCCTGTCTTTATGTGCCTCACAACTCAGTAAATACCATGTTTTCTGTTTCAGTAATTGTGGCCTCTTCAAATGGGAACGGGATGGAATGCTAAAGGTACGTCATTTGCAAAGTGATGGAAGTTTAGTGACCCATGCAACTAATGTTGACCCATTTCTTACTGAACTATTATCATTTTTCTAGGAAAAGACAGGTCCAAAAATAGGAGGAGAAACCCTGTTACCGAGAGGAGAGGAACATGCCAAATTTCTGAATAGCCTTAAATAGCCCTGACTTCAAACAGGCACCCACAACCTACATTGCTTCCTGTGGCTCTGGAAAAGCAAAGATATAGGCTTGAATTGCTCAAGTTCCTGATGGACACAATCAAAACAAATACTTGTGAAACCTACAAGCTTTCCCTACTTACTTTGATATATTATGTTTATTTGATACCGAATTTAACATTGATCTTTAAGTGGAAAATCAAGATACCATTGTCTTTTCTTATTACTGGTGGCTGCCCCCAAACTGGAAGGTAAATCAAGAGCTGTGTTTCTGTATCTCTGGGTTATAGAGTGTGCAGGGTTGCTTCTTTAATAAGGTTCTAGTACTTACATGTATGGACATCCAGAGGCAGAAGAATTAATTTAGCTCACCCCAGGTAAGTTACGAAGCTTCTAGGCTTCAGTTTTCTTATCTGGAAAATGAGAAAAGTTGGACTAAATGATCTTGAAATGTATTATTCAGTACTCAAATTCTATAAATGTAACTTCTGTCCATCTAGATAATTAGGATCATTGCCCTTAATATAGTCTTGAAATTAAGTCACTGAACCACTTGGCATTTTGGTTCATATCTATATGCTGATTTCTGTGTGCCCTTACAATACTGTGGAACTCTGTAATGTGAACACCTAGTCTCAAGATTTTAAAATATGGCTTAAGGAAACTGAAACCTCTAACCAAAATGAATGCAACATTTGAGAAGCTATGAAGCATGACTAGAAAACAGACATTCTGTAAAGATAGAATCCCATGGAGTTTGGGATTTGCAGATGTACATTATTATACACCTCGAGAATTGTAGGTCCAACCCCAAGCAAATTACCACCAAAACATTCCATTTGAGAGCCTCCTGTGTCAGGGCAATGTGACTCTCCAAATACCATTTGTTTTAAGTGAATGCTGATAACTACCTAAAGACTGGGTAAATCGGTAGGATTATTATATTGGGATTTAAATTCTAGCTAGAAATAGATTAGGTTTCCCCTAAGATAGTATTATGGTAGCAATATAACACTTACGAGAAGTGGTTACGGAAGGTGTTTGATTTAGGTTTCCAAGAGCAAGAAATAAAATTCACATGCTCTAGTTTTCATCCACCTCTGCTCTGGGTGGAAGGTGCTGTATCTGACCCTTGTGTCTTTCCTAAGGTCATATCCTAATAACTTTATTTTTAAGAGTATTTCACTTTCTAGTAGATTTTGTTTTGTTTTTATTTTTAGCTTATGAAGAAAGAAATCAAATGTTTACTTCTTAGTAGGAACTCTAATATTTTTAATGGCTCATTTAGAGTAGGTATATTTGTCTGATAAACTTAAAACAAGAGCTATGTGTTTGAAGTACGTCATGACTGAGCAGCTGCCTAAGCCTTGAACTCCAGGTTGCGTTTGAACGTTCCCCTTCCTATATAAGAAACACATTCTTGTTTGAATCACGGGCATCATCAGAGTCCATACCTATGTGTATAGAATTAGTGTACTACTCCTGTAAAGGTTGATGGTGGGCTAAATTTTGATGCCTTCCTCTTTTAAAATTAGATTTAAAATTTTTTTAAGTAATGTAAAAACATAACTGAGTTACTTTTTGGTTACTTTAAATTTTGGGGGGCTTAACATTTGAGGTGCTTTGTATGTATGCTTTCTTTCTTAGAATATTCAAGGATGAGAAGGGATAGGTGGGCCAGAAGGGGGACTTAATTGTTTGCATTGGAAATATGATTTATCAGCAAGATCAGTCTTTTGATCCTATCTTCTTTATTAATGTGTATTAAATGCTTTCATCTAACTCCATAATGTGTATTTAATTTTTTCTTATGCTGGCATTGGCAGTGTAAGGCTTATTATAATCACAGGCCAGCAGAACGGGTTATGCATACAATTCACAGTGATCTAAATTAGGAAAGGCTGGCTGGCTCTGTCCTTCGTGGGGAACCTAGTTGATCTGAACTGATCTTCATAATAGATTTTTTTTCTGTGGTTTTTTTCTATTTAGAGGGGAAAAGTGGCATTTTAAAGAAAATCACCTTTCTCTTGAGTTTTGTTAAAATATATTTTCCCTTTCCAAAGAAGACAAGGAAAGCTGAAGTAATTAAGATAACAATAATCCAGAATAGCAAATAAGAAACTTCTGAATGGTTGATACGAATCTTCTCCAAAAGTAACTTAAAATGTTACAAGTTGACATATAGCAAAGATGACAGGAAGAGATTGCATGAGTTGGGTTTTTGTGTAAAAGTTGGTCATGATAAAAGTAAAGCTTGATGTTTATAACAGATTAAATACATCTGATAACATTAATTTTTAAAAATCAGGAGAGAGCATTTGTAGAGTATAACAACGAAGCAAAACTGAAGGAACAAAACAGCAGCAGACTCACAAACTCCAAGAAGGGACTAGTGGTTACCAAAGGGGAGGGGTGGGGAGGGTGGGTGGGGAGGGATGGAGGGAGAAGGGGATTGAGGGGTATTATGATTACTTCACATGGTGTGGGGGGGTCACAGGGAAGACAGTGCAGCACGGAGAAGACAAGTAGTGACTCTGGCATCTTACTACACTGATGGACAGTGACTGCAACGGGGTATGGGGGGGTTGATAATGATAATGTGGGTGAATGTAGTAACTACATCGTTTTTCATGTGAAACCTTCGTAAGTGTGTATCAATAATACCTTAATAAAAAAATCAGGAGAGTGTTTGCCGAGTATATCATTGATAGCCCATCAGAGCTTCTACTCTACTTTTCTATCTTTGATACCATGGGTAGAGATTTGGAAAAAATATAGCTCTCAAGAAATGAAATTCTGTATTTGCCAATATTGAGGAAAGAAATGGCAGTATATCTGAAGAAAATAAATAGGCACAAAAGATGGAAGAAATCAGTTGGCTTAAGTTGACAGGAGTTTCTGAAAAAGATACTGAAGCTTTGAAAATTAAAACGAGCCAGGAATATAGCCACACTACTGAACTATTTAGATCAGTGTGGGAAAGAGCCCTGTCATGTCCTGCAGAGCTCAGACCATATATTCAACAGACTTGTATTTCAGAGAAAAGCCAGGCAAGGTAATCAAGATGGTGAAAGCTCAAAACAGGATAGAAAGAACTAGAAATATATATACAGTTGATTTTGATTATTCACAGCACTGTTTTATGAAGTCACCACTAACTGAATTAGCTGATACTCATTTCATTCCCTGAGTGCCTAACCCTGGGAAATACAAGGTTATGTATTGATCTGTTGATGAAAATACTACCATAGGTTCGCTGCAAACCTAGGTCGTATTTTCATGAACAGATCAATACATAACCTTGTTTTATGTGTTTCTATTTAAAGATGTTCTTCTTTGATATATATTGTTGATACACTAACCTGGAACTCATGAACAGCAGCATCAGAGCTCATGGCTGAGCAAAGGTCATCTTAGCACAGTTTCTCCATAAGGCACATTGCAGCATTCCCACACTTAGAACACTGGGCAGCACTACTCTTAGGGGTCATTTTAAATGCAAAACTATCAAAAGCAAAAAAATGTGGAAAAATGGCACAAAAGAACACTTGTTTACAGTACCAGAGCTGAAACAAACAAGAGTGTCTCTGACCTCAGCTCAGCATGTGCGCATTGGGCAACTCAGATTTTTCATTGCTCTGCATGTGTACATGTCCATAAGTGATCGGAAAAGCTCCACAAATACTGATTTTGGAGTTACAGATAAGTTTGAGTAATGAAGTCACAAACATGGAATCTACAAATAATGAGCAACTGTAGAATATTTCCCAAAACGACCAGATCAGGAGTGTCCCTATTTTGCAGATTAAAAATAGAAGTAATTAGAAAATACCAGTCTACACTAGGATTGGAACCAAGTCTGTGATGATGTTGTTTGAGCAAAAGCATCTCTAGTGGGTTATTAAGGTCTAAATTCCACACCTTAAAAGGTACACACCTTGAGTATGGTTCAGTAGATTTAGGCAAATATATATACCACCACCACAAGCGAGATAGAGGATATTCCGTCACCACAGAAGGTGGCCTTTCGCTGCCTCCCAGTCAGTCCACCCTCTGGCCTCCGCCAGCTGGCCCCTGCCATCACTGATCTGTTTTCTGTGACTATACTTTAGATCTGTCTTTCCTAGGGACTCATATAAATGGAACAATACAGAATACACTTTCGTTTCTGGCTCCTTTCCCTCAGCATAACATTCTGCTGCATGTAGCAGTAGTTCATTCTTTATTGTTCAGTACCTCACTGCATGGATTTGCTCCACAGTTTATTTATTCACCTGCTTAAGGACGTTGGGGTTGAATTGTTTCAATTTGGGACTGTCACAGGTAAATCTGCTACCAGCATTCAGGTAGAAGCCTTTTTGTGGATATGTATTTTTGTTTCTCAAGTAAATACCTTGGAGTGGAATTTCTGGAGCATATGGTAAGTGTATGTTTAGCTTTATGTGAAACTGCTGGACTATTTTCCAAAATGGTTGTACCAATTTACACACCCTGAATACACTAGTAATGTATGAGAGTTCTGTTTGTTCCACATCCTCACCAGTATTTGACATTGTGAGTCATTAATTTGTAACCATTCTAACAGGAGTGTGCTGGTATCTCACTGGTCTTACTTTACGTTTCCCTCATGACTTAATATTGGGTATCTTTTCATGTGCTCTTGCCCATTCTCCCATCTCCTTTGGTGAACTTAATTATTGGGTTGAGTAGGAATTCTTTCTCCATTCTTGATACAGGTATTTGGCAGATGTGTGTGAGGAATATTTACTCCTTTGTGGCTTGTCTTTTTATATTTTAGCAGTGTCTTTCAAAGAGCCATTTTCCTTTTGTTCAAGTCTGCTTTATCAGTTCCTTCTTTTTGGTCCATGCATTTTGTATCTAGATAAGAAATCTTTACCTCCCTTAACGTTACAAAGATGTTCTTATAGATTTTTAATATAATATAGCTTTAATATAATATAGCTTTCATTTCAAATTAGTTTTTGTATAAGATGTGAGGTGTAAAGGTTGAGGGTCATCTTTTTCCAGATGGATGTTCAGTTGTTATTGCACCACTCAGTGAAAAGATTGTAATTTCCCATTGGATTATTTTGACTTCTTTGTCCAAAAGCCAGGTGACCATGTATTTTGGGGTCTACTTCTAAACTCAGTTCCATTAAATTAATGTATATATCATTGCTATGCCAGTATCACACTGTCGTAATTTACAGGAACTCTGAAATAAGTCTTGGAATCAGGTAGTATTAGTCTTCCAACTTTGTTCTTTTTAAAATTTGTTTTGCAATTCTAGGTCCTTTGCATTTCAGTGTAAATTTTAGAATTAACTTGTTGATTTCTATCCAAAACACTCCTGCCAGCATTTTTAAGATTATGTTTAATGTGCAGATCAAATTGGAGGGAATTGACACCTCAATACTA